TGGTGGTGTGTATTGACTTTATGAGAGTTAATGAGTTACGGGAGTCAGTAAAAACTGTAAAAGAGGAAGAAGAGAGTGAGTATATGTGTTTTAGGGCAAAAAGGAGTGCATACAGTTCTGTAGGAAAGACACTGGATTCAGGAGGAAGGGAGTATTTGAAAGTACGAGTTGGGAATATTACTGCAAAACCAGCACCAGAGGTGGATTTGGAGCCATCAGTATATACGTGTATACTAGAGGAATGGGTGGAGACACGGTCAAGGAAATGGATGAGAAGGACAGTAGGAGGAATATTTGATTTTGGTGGGTCGGGGAAAACAGAAGAGCAAATATGGGGGTGAGGTATAAGCCATGGAAGGACGGAATGGACAGAGAACGGGGGAGGTTGGAGATGGGGGAAAGGGGAATGGGAGAGGAGGGTATCCATGCGAGTGGAGAAAGGAGTAGGTAAGCGTGGAGATGAAGCTAAGGTAGGAAGTAGGGATTGTGGGATAGTTAATTTAGTGAGGGGAAGTTGGTGGAAACGAACATAACATCGGCCTTCATGAGTGTTGCGGCACGATTGTAGGGCAGTAATGAGTTCAGAGGAAGAAAAACGAGCATTATAGGACTCAGCGGAGGATGGGGTGAAGGTAATGGGGGTACTTTCTCTGGTGGTCTTGATAGAAGAGAAGTGTGGAGAAAGGTGAGAACCACTACTGACCTGGCTGAAATAATCACCCAGTTCATTAGCGACTTGAAGAGGATCAGAAATGAGGGTATCTCGAATATGGAGGACGGGGGCAGGATGGGGGGGATGTTTGCCTGATAGTTTATGGATTCGGCGCCAAACATTTGAGATAGATGTAGAGGATGTAATTGATGAAACATAATTTCGCCAGCTATTTGTTTTACTATTCCGGATTGTACGACGAAGACAGACAGATGCTCTTTTAAAGGAGATAAGGGCTGATAGTTGATTTGGAGTACCTCTCTTGTAGCGGTAACTGTTCCAGGCTGCACGTTTTAAGCGAAGTGCTTTAGTGCAATCAGAATTCCACCATGGAACACATTTAGAGGTATATGGTCTTGAGGTTCGAGGGATAGCTGTATGTGCAGCTCTTAAGACTGTAGTTGTGAAACACTATAATTTCTGAAATGGAGGTGAGGGAGGATGGAGGGGTATGAATAGCAGAGAGTGAAGTGAAAGTATGCCAGTCGGCTCTATCAAAGCACCAGCGTGGGGAGTTAGGAAGTGGTTCGCATGAAGTAGGAGAAAGGAGAACTGGAAAGTGGTCACTATAGGGAAAGTGGTCTAAGACTGACCAGTGGAAATCTAAATGAAGAGAAGGGGAGCATAGAGAGAGGTCAATGCATGAAAAAGATTGCGTGCGTGTATCAAAGTGTGTGGGGCGATCTGAATTTAGAATAGTAAGGTCAGCTGTGGAGAGGAAGCGCTCTAGAGATCGGCCTCGGGAGTTGGTAATAGAATCACCCCAAAGAGTGTGGCGGCAGTTAAAGTCGCAAACTATGAGGAAAGGTGGTTGAAGTTGGGAAATTAGATTTTCAAAAGCAACAAAATCAACGGGGTGGGAAGGGGAGAAGTAGACTGAAATCACTGTGATCCAACGATGAAGGAAGATACGAATAACTGTGCAAGGGACATTAGTTTGAAAGGGAGGTGTGACATAAGGTGTTTTCTGATTGATAAGTATGGACGAGACATAAAGGGAAAGTGGGGAAGAGACAAAATGATAATTGGGGATTGGTATTGGAGGATGTGTAAGAAAAGTTTCTTGAAGGCATACAATAGATGGGTTATAAGAGGAAAGGATATGACGAAGGTCAGGTCTGTGGGAGCGGAAACGCGAATATTCCAATGAAGGATAGTTATACTTTCTTTGATTTAGTGATATAGACTGTAGTACGTGTTGGAGAATTTGAAGGGGAAGCAGCTAGAGGGTGGGATAAGGACTGAGAGGTTTGAGATGGGAGAGGTGTGGGAGTTGGTGTTCCATCAGGAGGGGTATTAGGAGATGGAGGGTCTGAGGAAGGGGATACTTGTGACATAAGGGATTCACGTGTATCGAGGAGGGAGTGGAAGGGATAGAGGGGATGGTGGGAGGGTTAATGTGGGCGGGGTTGGGGTCGGGGGGGATGGTCTGTGCTGGGAGGGGGTAGGAGGATAGGGTGTAGGGGGGATATCGTTAGGAGGAGGATGGATATCAGCAGTTACTTGGAGTGTGGAAGGAGCAGGAGTTATAGGTTGAGTGTCAGTTTTCATTAAGTAATCTTGAATATTTTCAATAGTTTCTTCTGAGGAGTTGGTTGGGGAGTTTTGGGGGATAAAGGATTTCTTGTGAGGGGGGGAAGAGAGGACTGGTGTTTCAAGAGTAGGGGCAAAGGATGGTGGAGGTGATTGTGTGGTAGGGGAAGAGGGGGTGGAACGTTTGTTCTGTCTGTTACGGGTAGTGCAAGGAGGGAGAGGGGAAGGTGTTGGGGTTGTAGCGGTGATCGGAGTATCTGTAGTAGAGATTGGAGTGTCTGGATTTAGGATGGCAAGAGTTTGACTGTGGAAGGTAGGAGGTAGAAGTGGGGGAGTTAGATGTAGGAGGGGTGGGTTTAGGAGAAGTGTTAGAATGAGCAGTATTACTGGAGTAAGGAGTAAGAGAGAATCCACGTCGACGTGCTTCCCGTCTGGCTTCACGTAGTGTGAGTCCAAGTTTGAATCTGAGAGTTGCTACCTCACTCAAATTTGTAGGTGGGACAGCCCCTATAAAATACATTATAGGGGCCGCCACAGTTGGCACAGGTGCGTGATTGTGCAGAGCAGTTAGATCGGGTATGGCCAGGTTGGGCACATAGTGGGCATCTGGCTGTGGAACGGCAATGTTTGGCTGGGTGTCCTAGACGCCAACAATTTTGGCACTGACGTGGAGGAGGTTGGTATGGACGAACAGGGAGGGATTCTCCTCTTATGTAGACGTTAAAGGGAAGGTCATGTCTACGGAAGGTAACTTTGGCTATGTTAGTGGGTTTCTTTCGATGACCTCTGGGGGGAATGGAGTAGCATTGTACTGATGTTGCATCATAGTCTGTGAGACAGGCAAGTAGGTCTTCTCCACAATCTGACCAATCTTTGTCATAGATTGGGCAATTTGCTGGGGGGATTGAAACTGTTTCGGTGCAAGTATTGAGGGTTGGATGGGGTTCTGCAAGGATGGGGTTACCATATAGGTCAGTTAGTTTTGTTAATGCTATAGCTTGGTTTTCGGATGTTACTGTGACAAGACGGGAGCGGTCGGGTCGGCTACGGAGAGAGACTCTACCTGCTTGTTTTTGGAGACATTGTTGGAAGAGAAGGGTGTTATCAGAGTAGGGAGCTGTGGGAGGGATCACGAAAAATCGGTCCCATTTGGCTGCGCTACAGAGAGTATTCAAGATTGTTTTAGAGATAGGAGTAGTAGAAGGGCGGGGGCGTGACGAAGATGGAGTAGTGTTGAGGGAGGTAGTGTTATGGAGAGGTGGGCTATAAGGTTGTAAGGTATTAATAAGGGAGGATGGGGTGGTTGATGTTGGAGGTTGTGGGGGTAGAGGTGTTGAAGTTGAGCATGCTGGGAGAGTGGAATGTTCCTTGAGGGTTGACTGTTGGCTACTGTACTAGTAGATATTGATGAGGGGGTAGTTATTGCAGTGTTCGGAGCCGTGATCAAAGGAGAGCCTGGGGTCAGGGAATCGGGTGGGTTTACTTCGTTAGGGCTATTTGATAAAGGGGCAAGCCTCATTGCCCCTAATAGTGGGGATATGTTTTCATTACTGGCCATGGTAAGCCTGGATTATGTTGGGGATAAAAACAGTCCACCCCTCAGGGTCCCCTTGAGGGGTAAGGGCTAGGTATAAATCAGGGGAATACCGTGCCCATGGCTCCCTCAGGCCGTTCGGGACTGGCACAAAGTCAACCTTTCATCCTTTCAGCACGGCTCTCACACCTTAGGAGGTGGATAGCAGAAGGGTTTGGTGAAGGGACAGAAACGAAAAGTGGGAAGGGAAAAAAAGACCATGCAAAATTAGTTGAGTCGAGGGCTGAGTCCCAAGGTTGGGGAGTTCCCCCATCATTGGGTCCCAGTCTCCGCCTCCTATGCCCCCCCACGACATCAACGGGCAAGGGATTGGGGGGGTTCGTGTCGTGAAGGTAACGGATGTTGGCCCTGGTTGATTTACTGGCAGATATGTAGAAATCCTTAGGAGATTTTCTTCCCAACAGTTAGGGATATGGGGTTTCCTGAAACAGATCACTTCTCTCTTATTGAGGACAACAGTCCCATCCATACCAGCCGTGTTGTCGAAGATTGGTTTCCTGAACATCTGCCCAGATTTCAATCCCATTGAAAACGTGTGGGCAGCGATGTCAAAATACATGCATCAAGACCACACTCATAATTGTGTCGCAATCTTGAATACCTTGCAAACACAGGGACGTTTATTATGTGAGGAAGGCGTGCGTGGACAGTCGAGTTAGTGGTGCCTGTTTCGACGCTAGAACTGTTTTTTGGCAGCATGGTGTAGTAACAATATTTTCCATATTTTGATCTTAATGAAAGATGCCAATAGCCATTAGCCATATTATAATAAACCGTGAGAGTAGCACCTGTCTAGTATTACAATTGACCCAACAAAAAATGTACAAGAAAGCTAAAGTATTAAACCATATAACAAATAATTTGTGAATTTATTGCTTCTAATTCATGATTTACCAAAAGTAGTTGGAAAATCAGGTGTACCAACAGTTTCCTAGCGTTAACCTAAATTTCAAAAAGTTCTGTTGTGTCACAATGTTAGAAAATTATGGCTAACAACAGTTTTCTTTGTAGCTGTGCACATGTGGCATACTAGGCTTAGTGAACCATCTGGGGATCAATCACTTTGAAAAGTTCAAGGTCTTTAGTGAATCTGTACTCCTTGTACTACACAATTTTTTTGCCACTGTTCATTTCTCCTCCTCAGGAATTAGGAAATAAATATTCATTGGGGTTCATTTATTCTACATTCCACAGTATATTACATTCTTTAGTTCACATTTTCTTACAACAGCTGTATCATGAATTACCTAAATAAAATTCTAGCCATTTACAATGTTACTTTACCACAAATCTAAAGAAATTTAATAATTTTGTGCAGGAGTAAGATGACAAGTACAGAGCTGCCGATCAGTCACCTGAAAATAAAAGAATGGTTATTTATGTCAATAAAAGTTTCACACTATATGCTATATATAACACTGTCAGATATTCACTTCTTTTAATGTCAGTTGACGAAAAATAAGATCATCTAACTATGCCTTATTAGCATGGATAGTCCTCTAGTTGAGAGGACAATGCATTGCTTCCTCTATCTCATCTTTTAGTGCCCTCTCTTTATACTAACTGCCAGTTTCTCTGCTGAAATTTCCCATGCTCACTTCCACTCCTCTAACCAATATATGCTTTCCTAAAAATAACAGAAAAGGGAAATCAGTATTAGCAAGAAGGCACTGTTCATCTTTTAAGATTCTGCTACAGTTTTTCACTGAACAATCCAACCCTAAATATATTCATATTTACGATACAATTCTAACTTTTAAAAAAATAATTGGATACAAAGACTATATATATTTTAAGATACCTTCTGTCCACAGAGCAATGCAACAAGTATCACATCAAGAGAATCTGAAATTCAGTATGTGTGGTAAAATAAATACAAACCACATTTCCACATAATATAGTTTGTGCATATATCAGATGTTCATTTCTACACTTATTATATCAGTTGACGAAAAATAAGGTCATCACTAAATGAATAACAATATTTACATAAATTTTGATCACTTACTAGGTTTGTTTAGAGGCTGCAAAAATCCCACCAACTGCCAGCCTGCTCTCCCAATAAATCTGAAAACAGAACTTGTGAGTTTTGTTCATTTAACCGCTTAAACAGTCTAGTTGCATTTGGTTTCTCAGTGAGAGAGTTATTCATCAACACTCAGTATTTCCTGTAAAGGTTTCATCACATTAGTTCTTAAGGTTCAAACCAAAATGTAAAAAATACATCATTCCTCCCTCTTCTTACCTTTTGCTCAAATCCATTGCAGGTCCTTCCTTCCTCTTTTCACTAAAAATGGTGCTTTTCATTTACTCCAAAAGCAGACCTGGAAAAGATTATTCTTTGAGGATGAAAACACAAATGTACACTATTATAATCAAACAAATTACGTTATCAGAGTTAATCATTCCACACAAGGATTAGGAGACGAAAAATTAAAGCATCATATCAACAGAATATAGGAATTAAATATTCAATTCACAATATTCCACTTTCTTTTACTCTTCCTACAGTAGCAAATTTCCTCCTACTTACCCACAGCTTTCATTTCAAACTATCATGTGCATAAAACTGCCTTTCATGCTAAATGAACTTGCTCACTGGAATTACTGAAATATACCAAAGAAAAAAGCAGATTAATTGCATATCCAGGGTAATTAGATTTCTGTAAGCTATGGGATTGGTATTTCTTTTCATTCATCAAATATACTTCGAGAGATGTAGAAAGAAAAACATTAGTATTTGGATATGCAGGATTTACAAGTTTTCTTTAAAAATACAGCTTCAGCAAGTTTTTCTAATAGCCTTGAGCCTCTACTTTTCACTTAATCCTTTTAAATAGATGGCTAAACAATAAATTCCAAAGACTTCAAATTTCCTTCAACTGACTACATCAGTCAGTTGGTACAGCTATGCAAATTAATAATTAAACAAAATCATGTGAAAAAATCTACTCTAAGATTACATGAAATTTCCCTACTTGATATACGTCATACACAAAGATGTACCTAAATCTCTGTATTATCCTCAAGATGTGCATAGGTGTTTTATCATCAAACAGCAAGTCATTCATGTTCCAATACAATTCCCACTTGAAATATACTTTATGATCAAAAAGAAACTTTAAAATGTAAAGAAAATATATATCTTATTCCAAACAAGGAGTATGAAATGAAAAATGAGAAAAATGAAAACATGACAACACAAAAAGAAAAAAAACTTTACAAAGTTCCAATTTCTCTTATTCTTAATATACAAATTAAATGGTTATATTAAGGGGACTTTCTTTACCGTTCTTTAAAGAGATTATTGGCGACAAATTCCTATTTTGGTAAATTTGGGTTATGTGCATTTCCGATAACCTTTTGCTATGAGTTGTCTCCCCATAGTTTAAGTCTCCCTTTGAAATTTTGAAAAAGATAATAACCTAGTAACATTACTCTACATTTTGATATATACAAGAATCATCAATCTTACATACCTTATTTTCACACTGAAGACAAAATCAGCATTACCCTCCAGATGATCAACTGAAATAAAACCAAGAGTAGTATGTAGTACATGAAAACTGTACACTACACATAGTAACAAAAAAATTAAAAATCAGTTTATTAATTTCTACATTCCTGAATTCAGTTGACGAAAAATAAGGTCATCATTTTAATTGTATAGAAAATCTTTCATCTTCAATAAATTATACTTTTTGCTTCACAGTTCCTCTTACCTGGACCTCTGTCCACTAGCAGCATCGGCTATTTCTTGTTCTCCAGTCTTCTATGGCTTCACTTCTTCCTTAAAAACGACACAAGATATTTTTGTTTAGCATACGAGAAAAGGGGGAAAAAAAGAAGAGTAGCACAGTCAATCATTCCTCATTATTTAAAAAATTATTTGGTACTTTTGCTTACCCAGAGCTTCCTTTTTCAGGTTTCCAATCTTAATACAATGCCTTTGATGTGACAGGATCATCCAAGCTTTCCTGAAGATGTCAAGGAGAAAATGCATGAGTATTTGATTGGTGTCTAGAAAGTAAACACCTCTCATTCTTCCTTATCTAAGTATTAAAATAGGGGGGTGGGGCAGTAAAATGGGAAAAAAAAAATAAATAAAAATAAAAAGGTTGAAGTTATTCAACATAGTTTTTCTATCCCTTTCCATTATGCAGTTTCAAGTACAAAGAATCCCTCTAGTCCAAGCTATTTATAAAAATAGGTGGATGGACGTTTTGATGCAGGTTTCCTTTCAATATATCAAGTATTGGCATTTCCTTTGACTGATTTCACTTTCATTTTCTTAGCAATCAACTTAACATTAATTCCCTATCAACATATTCACTCAAATTAGATTTGGTAACTTACCCAATTCTTAGGATCAGCTTCATTTCTACAAACTGCTTCCAAAGCAACTTTCAAACCAGCTGAAAGTAGAAAAATACTTTTGAGATTTCTTCCCTAACAACTAGGGTGGATAAGCAGAGTTGGTTTCTCAGTGAGAGAGTTTATCATCAAAACTCAGTCTATACCCTGTAATGGTATCATCACAAATATTCATATTCAAACTTTTCATTTCCTATTACATAATTTGCTATTTCACATTCATCTGTCTTTCTACAGAAATGTACTTTTTACTTACCCCAATCTTTAAAGATGTATATCAACAGTTATTTTCTGCAGAAATCACAGGGGAAAACAGGAAAGCAGCATTGGCACAAAATTTCATTATCTTGCATAACTCTTACAATCTGGACCATTTCTGAGAAACGGTTTCCATTCCCTCCAAAGAAAACTGAAAATAGATTAACAGTTGTGAGTCTCTTCCATAACCACTGTGGTGGACAAGCCAATTTGGTTCTCAGTGAGAGAGTTTATCATCAAAGGTCAGTTTAAACCCTGTTATGGTATCATCATTTCCATTTGTATCCTTATTAAAATGCTTGTTTTTTGTCAATTTCTATTTTGCATTTACCAATATCTCTAAAACATGTTACTCTGTACTTACCCATTCTTAAAGTGATCATGAATAATGATGTTTAGTCTGCAGAAAAAAATCTGAAAAGGAAGAAAATACATCAACATTAGTGGAAGATCTTTCTTCAATAGATGTAATTTATATAAACCCTAAATATTAGCCAATCTATTTCACAATTATCACAGCAGTCGACTAACAAAACCTTATATTTCAACCAAATTTTGCATTGTACGTTCAAGTTAATCAAGTCAGTTAACCCATTCGCCCCAGATTTATGTTCTGTCCCCTGTAGTTTTTGGTGAATTTTGTTACATACAGATGGCTCCTCATGTACTCAGCTGGCAAGGAGTCTATCAGTAGGCCCTAGTTACCGACCCTGATTTTCGCATTCATTGAATTGGCGGGAAGATTAATACCATTGCTATCAATACTTATCATTGTTATTGATGTTATGATTATTAACCCAATGATGCCGGGTGTACAAAACAAAAACTACGCTCTAGCAAACAAAGGCGGTGCGCCGACTTTGAGCGCATGAGTAGGGGACATCAGCCCGAATCACTGGCTCGCCACTGGCTCGCCACTGCGGCATGCCAGCTTTCGAGCGGTTTGTTTGCACGCTGATCAGCGTCACCCGGCACCAAGGGGTTAAATTGTCATAAGAATAATTTAGACAATGAAATGATACAAAAATCCCCTTTCCTAAAGTGAAGGAAAAAGGTAAACAGGTGAAATAAGTAGTTCTTGATAACTAGCCATTTGGTGATTAAGAACTTGTGGAGCCATCTATGTGTAAATACAATATATAAAGGTGTATCAAAGTAGGTATGGCATCTATTCTTGCCACGTGGGGCGAATGGGTTAACGAAAAATTTAATCTGGGATATTAACTTCAATCAAAACGCTGAACTCTTGCTCACATCTTACCACTTACAACAGTACCAATCCCTTATCTTTGGATGATTTTGGTTTAGAGATTCTCTTCCACACTGATAATTGAACTTGCTCTTCCACAATAACTGTTCACTTTTGCCAGACTTCAATCCTCAGACAGACTGGAAAATATTTTTCTTATTAGATCTTTCTGATGTAATGGGAGTAAACGAAAATTACAACATTAATATCAGATTAAAAGTTTCCGCAAAGTATTTCGGAGACGAAAAATAACTACATCATTTTCTACTGAGCCCTGCTTAAAGCATTTTCTTTAAGTCACTTTCACCCTTAAAAAAAAATTCACCCAGCTTACCAAGATGCAAAATATAATTGAATAATTATTTCAAACTTTCCCTTAAAGCTAAAATGACAATCAGTAACAGTATATCCTTTTATTTTTTCCGTAGAAGTTTGTTCTCCTATTTCAATCTACACACTTCATCTTCAACAATCTTCATATACATTACATATATAAATAAATTTGGTCACTTACCCCATTTGTAAGATCTGCATTTCCTAGAAACTACTGCTAATCCAACTTCCAGAACAACTGAAAGTAGAACAAAACTTCTAAGTTTTTATTTTTTTTTCTCTAATTATTATAGTGGTAAAGATGTGTTTGAATTCTCAGTGAGAGAGTTTATCATCAAAAGTCAGCCTAAACCCTGTTATGGTGTCATCATTTTCTTATATCAAGCAACTTCCTAGTTCAAGTTACCTTCTATACCAGTCATATTTCTCTAAAATTTCACTTACCCAAGTATTTTAATGGATGTAATAAAGGTTTTAGCTACACAAAATTCTGGAAATGGAAAAGAAAAGTCTCCATTAGTATTAACTATTAATTTGGTGGTGAATGTACTTTTCACTTTAATGTTAAAATAGATTTTCTTGCAAAAAAAAGTAAAAATGTTCAATTGAATTTTATAATTCAAAATATGTAAAGATTTTCAGGACAACTCAACAAGCAAGGTGGGAAATCCATTTAAGTTTATATACAGATTAACCTAATGCCTGTGGGAGTATCTGGGGTTCATTGGGAAATTGGGCTTGCCACCATGGCATCTTTCAAACCAACAGTGATAAGAGGTTTTGTTTCCTGCAAAATATCACTTAACTAATTCTCAAAATCTGCTCCCTCTCCAACACACTGATTGCATTCCCTCCCAAGAAAACTGAAAATAGAGTAATAACTTCTGAGTCTATTCCATTACCACTGCAGTAGACAAGCTGACTTTAGTTCCTCAGTGAGAGAGTTTATCATCAAAACTCAGTCTATACCCTGTTATAGTGTCATCAGTTTCATGCTTTAAATCACCAGTTTCATGCTTTAAATAGTTTATCATCACCTATATCACATTTACTAACTTCTCTAAAAACTTTCATATTTTACTTACCCAATTTTACTAGTGCTGCATATCAATGAAGCTTTTCCATCAAGGAAGAAAGAAACAACAAAAGAATGACGACTTTGTTGAAGTTTTTATCTTTGGGTGAACAACTAACACTCCCATTCTCTTCCACACTGATGTGAAGTTCTCTTGTTTCTCAATCAGATAACCTGGAAAGGATTTTTCCTTATCAGAACATTTCATAGAAGTAATGGGGGTAAAACAACAGTTACACTTGTCAGATAAGAAAATTCCACATTGCATTTTCGGAGACGAAAAATAAGTACATCATTTTCTGCTGGATGCAATTTAACTAAGTAATTTACATTCTACGTCTTGTATTTATTTCCTTACTTTTTCTATAGTAGTCCCCAAATTCTTGCAGCATATGTATCTCTGCTTACCTGGTAACAAGAGGAAAGAAAATATTCACATTAAGGTTTTACCAGAAGTTCAAGTGAAACGGTTTAGACTTTCACAACAAATTTAGTATTAGTCTTTGCAAGTAACCAGAATTTTTAAAAAGAAAATTAAATTACACATCTACAGTATTCATACCTTTTTTTCCACCTCAGAACTGCAAAATTCAAGCACTATCTTACATAATGCTTTATACATATGCAATAGGAATTTGGATGATTGATTACATTCAACAGCATTCAAACAAAAGCTCAATGTACCCAATTAAATTTTCATTCAATCTTTCACTTACTTTGACCTCAACAGTATATATACATACATACATATATACATGTATATACATATACATATATACATGTATATACATACACATATATACATGTATACACATACACATATTTATACACACATACAGCTACAACAGGTATTGATATGATTTCTTACCTTAGAACATGGATTCAACACTTTCAAATGGAAAACTCAATTCAGGTGTTACTTCTAAAACAGTTCAAACCTTTTTGCTTTTATTTCATAGTATATGCAATATGCATATCACATGTGTATCCATCCTAATAACAATTATTGCTAGCCTTTGTGGCACAACACATTAATAGTAGATCATTGCCTAAGAGCAACAATTTGACCAGATTCCAATGCTCACAGTAAAAAAAAAAAAGGATATATTCATCTAGGGTCCTATTCATAAACATTTTATAACAAAAAAATTTATTGTTAACATTATATATATATATACACTTTTTTATACAAAGAAAATTTGTAACTTAACCTTATATTAACATAGACGTCTATGCCAGAATATGAATTTACATCAAATATTTACACAGGTATTCACTAAGACAAACTCAAAGTCATACATTCACTCGTACACTGATGCTATAGCATTATTCACCAAAGTCCCCTTGGAGAAACGTTTCCTTCAGCAAGAATATCGGAAGAGTTTGAGGGTTAATCTAAAAATTCATTAATAAAGAAAAAAAAAAAATCTAATGTCCCCTCAGATCCCCAAAACCTGACTGAACACGATTTTAGACAAATTTGTGGTCATTATGTAATTATCTACTGCTGTCCCTCTCCTTCCTTTTTGTCCTTGCTCTCGCCACTGCTGCTTGATGACTCTCTCTCAGATGCCATCTGTGGAAGGGGCACAAAATAATTGAAAACTCTCTCCAAATTTAGAATAATATCCAAGTAACTTTTCTTTGAGAATTACAGAAGTTCAATCACTAGGTTCTTACCTTCTTATAGGCCATCTCGAAGAGCTTGAGTGAGGCTTGCTGGAGCTCGCTGACCTTTTGCTTGATTTCCTCTGGGTCTGCAGAGTCTTTATTTGCCAAGAGGTCCTTCACAGTAGTCAGCTGCTCCTTCAACTTTTGAGTCTGAGAAAATATTTTTGTTAGCATAGAAAAGCCTGTCAAAGCTTGACTACCCTACTACAATTTTTGTTTACCTTTAGACTACATAATAGCAAAAGCTTTAGGTGGTTCCATCTTAAAAACAGAATATTAACATCAACCAAATAAGAATAATGCACAAAAATATCATGTTTTATGAATGCGGACACTTGAAAGCCATAAGACAATGTCAAGTGTCCGTCTATCAGAAGCAAGGGATGAGGCTTGAGCTAGAAAAGGAAATGTAGAACTTGCCTCATCAGTAGGGAGTTGATCCTTAAACTCCTCCATCTTGCTCTCAGTGTCATGAATGATGCTCTCACCCTGATTGATGGCCTCCACAACCTCCTTACGTTTCTTGTCTTCCTCTGCATATTGCTCAGCATTCTTGATCATATTCTCGATCTCATCCTTGCTCAGACCACCAGATGATTGGATCACAACTGTGAACATATGTTGGGTAATTTAGAACGGACATTTGGGCATTTCCCCATTCACACTAATTTCAAAATATTATTAAGCAAGAGGACTCATTTCAGAGAACTTTAACAAGAAACATTTTACAATACATGATAATGGAAGTGAAGACAAGACTGTACAAATACTCACTCTGTTGTTCCTTGCCAGTGCCCTTGTCTCTTGCAGACACATGGACAATACCATTAGCATCAATATCAAAGGTGACTTCAATCTGGGGTACACCACGGGGGGCAGGAGGAATGCCAATCAAGCTGAACTGGCCCAACAACTTATTGTCATTGGCCATTTCGCGCTCACCTTGGTGAACCTTGATCTCTACTTGGGTCTGGCCATCAGCAGCTGTGGAGAATACCTAGGGGAAGGACAAGGGGAGCCATAAAATTCTTGTCTATGAGTATGAGCCTTTACATTGTATATATTTATATTTATTTCTGTATCAACTCGAAGATCAAAATGTAAGAAGTGAATGGCAAAATGATAGAATTTCAATAACACTTTTTAACAGTCATTTGACTACATTATTTGGAGCAAACACAGGTACAGTACTTCCACTCACATGTTCACAATCAGCACAGCCCACTATAATTTGTATTACTACTGATAATTTCAAATTTACTTCCTTCATGAGAGAATTACTTAGACTATCTGCTCATACTCTATTTGACCATATGTGTAGCCATTTCTTTACAATGGGCATTAACCAGAAGAGCCTTGGTTCTAATGTTCCCTAGCATTTCAAGATTGTGTACTACTGTTTAAATCCTACTCCATGCCTACCTGTGATTTGCGTGTGGGGATGGTGGTGTTCCTGTTGATTAGCTTAGTCATGACACCTCCCAATGTCTCAATACCCAGAGAAAGAGGAGTCACATCAAGAAGCAGCACATCTGTTACATCACCAGCAAGCACTCCACCCTGGATAGCAGCTCCCACAGCCACAGCTTCATCAGGATTCACTGACTTGCTTGGGGCACGGCCAAAGATGTCTTGCACAGTAGAAACCACCTGTAATTCAGAGGATGCAATCTTGTTTTAACATCAATATGTACAATTGGTGGATTCTCTAAGGGGTGTAGGGTGAACATAAAGAAAAAAAAAGTTCTATCATGTATATTCAAATCATTAACTAATAAATTTCTAGAATACAATTATCCTGAAAACCTGATACCATCCTTGAAATCTCACCTTGGGCATCCTGGTCATGCCACCCACAAGAATGACTTCTCCGATCTCGGACTTGCCACACTCGGCATCTTTGATAGCCTTGAGGCAAGGGTCCACAGTGCGCTTCACTAGCTTGTCCACAATGCTCTCAAACTTGGATCGCGTCAGCTGGGTAGGGATACTTAATTAGACAAAGTGGGATTCATCTTAAACATTAACTAAGCCAAGTGAACCTTGTTATTTTCTTCCTATGTAACTAAATTCATTAAATTTGAAGGAAATAAAATTTGAACGAAGTTGCCTGAACAAGCAAATCTTTACTGTTATGTCATTATCTACACCTAGCTTCAAAAGATTATTCAATCACTATAGGGAGACTGTTTAATCCTTCAGTGACAGTTTTAGAAATATCATGGCGTCATAGCCTCCGGTGACTTCTGGCAACCGCCCTGCTGCTGGGAGAGGGAGTCCACTACATGTAGCGAAACTAACCCCCCCCCCCCGCTCTCGTCCACATTTATAGCTATATTCAGCAGATCAAGCTGGTTTATGATGGTTATAACAAGACCCGTCAATAATGGGTTAAACATGTGTCCAAGAAAGTTGGCTCAAAGACACACCTTGTACATCATATGCTTTGGGCCTGAAGCATCCATGGTAAGGTAAGGCAGGTTAATGTCAGTCTGTGTGGAGGATGATAGTTCAATCTTTGCCTTTTCCGAAGCCTCCTTCAGACGTTGCATTGCCATGTTGTCCTTTGTGACATCAACGCCTTGCTGTAATGGAAACTTTTATTAGTTACCATGACCCTTGCCTTCAATACAGATATTAAGGTCTTTTGTAAGAGAAATTGTCAAATTTTAATCCCTACAAGTTTACAGAAATTCCTACCTTTAAATCTTTAAGCTAACAAAAATTCTGACATGATATACTAGTA